CAGACATCAAAGGGAAAGCTGCCTGAACATGTGGCTGGAAAAAGACTTCGATGTATAAAGACAATTTTTATTTTATTTTCAATAGGTCCTGGCCATTATGCATGGCCACAATTGTCTGCGTCACTTTAGTACAATTTTTGTGCCATTTCCTTGTGTCACTTACAATGAAAAGAAACACTATTCACAAAATAGTGAACCTAATATTTCAGCCAAAGGCACAGGACTGGTGACCCCACAATATCCTGTTCACCTCCAGTAGTTTGACATGAGTCATACTTGATTAACTATTCCCTAGCCTTTGTGTACTGTGGAAGCTATGGTGTGACGTTGAATTTTAAGAGCAATTAGAATAAAATATACACCATGCGCCTCTAGCCTTGATTCACAATGCATTTCAGTCTTGGGTCACTGATTCGAAATGGACAGCTTCTGGAAAAAGCATTTTTAATAGCAAGTTATTAATTTGCTGGGATTGGTGGAGGCTCTAAAAAGAATTTTCAAGTCTGAAGAATTTAATGAATTCATTATCACAACCATGTAAAAGAACTACGAAAACAGTTAGCATACATAAGTCACAACACTGTTTCCACCACGTTCTTCCCATCGCTTTCTTAATTCCTGCCCAGCCATACACAGAAGAGCCCCATGATGTATACCACAGACTTTGAAGTCTCGAGTCAGATCTACAGGATGTTGGACAAGCAACTTTTTTTGACTGCTAGTGAAACCCATTTTTCCTAGGCATTTTGAAAACTTCCATTATAAGAACCACTGTAAGGTTTTCAATTCAAAATATAGACTATCATAGTTGCTGTAGATCATCAATTCAAAATAGCTAAAATTTGGAATGAAGCCTTGCACCCGCAGAATAAACTTATGTCCATCTGTTCTCAGTTTTAAAGCATGATTATTCATAAATTTCTGGGTAATTACATAGACAATTCAACAAAGTGGCCACATTAAATTTTTTTAAATAGTCATATTTTCAAACATAATAATTTCTTTAGAAGCTGTTTTTTTTCCTCATTCAATCCCATTGCAATTGAAGATGCTTATAGTTCACCAGGGACCTTTACAATTAAAACTGTAATAGCCTGAAATTATTTTCCAATTATTACTCAGCACACCAATTGGTGCAGCAATACTGTTTATATTTATCACCAGAAATTACTGTGATTACTTTTCTCTTTGCTTTCACATGTCTTACTAAAAAATCTAAAAGGAAGTAAGATGGAAAAACAGAGAAGGATTTCTGAAAGACTATGAGTCCAGTATCACTGATTCTGGCATTCACCAGGAGCAGATTACAGAAACGAAACGCATACAAAAATTCAGTTTATCCCACTTTGCTGTCACTGAACTAGACACTTTTGAAAGCCGAATAACAATAGACACATTTAAAAATTTGCAGTAATTGTTGAAACAGGTACCTACTATAATTGTCTTGTAATCTAGAGATGAAGCCAAAAGGGAATTATTGAAAAAACAAAAACAGACAGATGCGCAAAGAATGTCGTTAGCTGTAGAAACAGGAAATTGGTATTGAAAGCAATAAGACAAATAGCTGCACAGATCTGCTCAGAAGAAGGATTTGTGCATGTAGGAAGAATAACAAAGGGAATTCCTTTTGGTTTCACATTTCACTGTAGATGTTAAAATGCTTAAAATACAGGAGCTCAGAAGCTGAAAGCTAATTTTGGTTTTATCTCAAAAAAGAAAAAAAAAATCTCTGACTTCATCAAGGAGGAAAAACTTAGAAAGTTCTCATCTTAATTTATAAAATTGCTGCATTATCATTTTCTCATTCATCTATTCATTCAGACTATACCTGGGCAAACTACTTTGCTTTTATTAAAAAATTCAGAAAAAAAAAAAGCTTTTCTTTTAGATGTTCCAAGTTTATCTTCTTTGATTAAACATCATGCAGCATAGTTTGGAAATTTCCACTTTTTGGACAGTGAAGACTCTGCTCACATACCTTGCTACACAAATGATACATTTTAGAAAAGAAAACATACAATCCTGATCATCAGAGGTATTTGCTTTTGAAATGTAGATGTAGGACTCTACTAGATGACCACAATCCATGTGGCTCAGGCGGTGGTAACCCACCACACGGGCAGGGGCAGTGGTAGTCCTCTGTCACCCAAGGTGGTCTCCAGCATGAGACTCTGCAACCTGGCCCCTTTTTTACCCATCTCTCTGGGTATTTTTACCCATCTCTCTAGGTGTTCTGGGAAGCAGACATAAATGAAGACATAACCTCCACTTTCTGTTTTCAGATGCCAAAACACAGTTAATTAAGTGTTAAACAGCAGTGTAAAAACACTGCAAAACATTGTGAGCAGTTGCTGAGCTTGAAGTTGATTATGCTCAGAATGTATATGATGAACATTCTCTTCTTTTAGTTAAAAGTCTAGTGAAGATTCTTCCCATGTTTCCTGTTAACATTTCTTCTTCCTTAGAAATACATCACGAATGAACAGAAAAAATAACCTTGAAGCACACAGCACTGTGTTTTTCACAGTAAGATATAAAAGAAAAGAAGGAACATAGTAATTAAAAAAACCCTAATAAAAGTGCAACCTAGTCAAAGACACTGTTGGTTCATCTATTACTTCTGCTTATGAGACTTAGAAGCAGATTTGGTTTAAAACAACAGAAGTAGCGCAGCAGTAAGAGTAAATCACAGAAGCACAATGTATTTACTACGGACTACTCTACAATGCATAGATAAATAGCAAGCAAAGAGAAAAATTAATCCTGCCATCCAAAAACCTGTTCTTCAAAATAATATTTTGTGTAATACATGCATACACATCTATCAAAATAATCAGCAAAAAGCTATATCATATTTTAATTTGTTTTAAATTGCAAAGAAATTAATTTTAAAGTGTATTTCTCTCTTTATAGATATGTATCTGTACTTACACAGAAATGTTTTTTCTAGATTATGTATCTATCATTACATTAACATGTTTAACTGAAGAATTGTACGGCATCTTATAGAGTTGAGGATGTGGAAACTAACACAGGTATTCTCCAAATTGAGTTTTGGGATTTTGTCCAAGATTTAGAAATTGAGAAAAAACAGAGAGATATTAACCCAAGATGCAAACAATGCTAAGTGATGTATGACTGAGGAATTTTGCCATCGGTTTTCATGAAAGTGTATGCGACACCAAATGCCGTATTTAGCAAGTGGATGAAGACTGCCAGATAACACTTACCACATTTCTCACCTTGTTGGGTTGAAGACGTAAAACATGCTGCGGCAAAGAAAGCAGACAGCAATGTCTAGCTTGTTTTAGTTAGGCCCAGTCTAGCAGCGTGCTCTCTTAATACACACTGACACAAACTAGCCACAAACACCAGTGCAGCTGCTCTTTTTTTAAGACCATGACTGGAGGAATGGAAATAACACTGGCAGCCAGCCTACGGAAGTCCAGCGCTTAAAGCACTTGTTTGAAAAGCAAATGATATAGATTTTTTATTTTCCTTTCTTCAAAGTCCATCGGCAACATCCCAGGAATAACGAACACGGATAGAAAAGAGCAGTTAACTGTGGTGGGGAGAAAAAAAGGCACTATTCATGTCTCCCGTTGAAATTAAAAGTGCTGTGCAAAAATGGATTAGGACTCACAAGGCCAGAAGTATTGCTTGGGTTATCCAGGTTCTCATTCCTGTTCCCAGACCTATTTCTGTGATAAGATTTTTTTAATCTAATAATGATTCAGCATCAAAACTAGAAAGTGTTCCTGAAAGCAAGGCCCAAACTCTGTTCTGTTAGCTGAAAGCAGCCAAGCTATTTTAATGTCCTTTCATAGGACAGACTCTCATCCCCTGCTCATTCTGGAATTTCTTCTGTGTTTGTTCCAGACTAAATGAATCTTTTTTGAATACAAGGGGCCTGTTCCAGATTTCAACTTTGTTTTTAACTTCTGCTACTTTGGTGCTTTGTTTTCCTCAAGAGGAAGTTTTCTCTCCGAGACTTAACAGACACAAGCCAAGGAGCCAGCAAATCCCACCACAGCGCTCCGCTTCTAATTCATCCTGCTAGCACAACAGAGCAGCTCTGCAACTCTCCAGCCAAATTCTCTCCTTTTTGGTATCAGCATGTTATTAAGAAGGATACTATCACTAGTACATTCTCAAAACATTTTTACTTTCTCCAGTAAATTCAGTGAATGCCCCCATGTGCTCACAACACCTATGTATCACTTTTCTTCCTTCCACAGGAATCCATTACCTGGAAAATTCAACCCACACTGGGTTTCCCGGCTCAGCTGGCTCTGGAACAGGTTTTGTAGTGACAAAGACCAGACATATGGGAAATAAATCTCGGCCATAATGTCAAATAACAAACTCTAAGTAGTAGGGAGTGATTCCAGCATTACTCAACAACCGAAATGTGAAAGTGTGGGGAACATGAATGTTGCTCTCACCTTCCTCTCGGTAAGTCTGCATCATCTTTCTTCCACCGGACTGTGGGCGTGGGATCCCCCTGCACCTGGCACCGGAAATCCACAGCCTCCTCCTCCAGCACCACTTGGTTAATCGGTCGCCTGAGAAACGTGGGCCGTTCTTGAAAGAGACATTAAAATTCCTTGGTGAGTCAGAGGGTTGAAATGAACACTTTTGACTTTTCAGCATCTTTTTGTTTACCGATTCACAGAATGAAGAAAGGAGGCTGAGCTCCACAAATTCAGACAAGTGGAACTGATGATGTGCACTAAGAGCCCGGAAGGAGACTGCCAGGCTGGAGAGGCAGGGGTTGTCGCGCTGGCCCCCATGCACGAGCTGAGTGCCACCAGAAGGCAGCCTGCGGTAGCACCGACCATCCACCGCCGCGCCACCGGGCAGGTCTCCAAGGCCATGCTCTTCCGTGTGCGCATTCCGACTCTGCGCTGCTGCATACACAGAGCGTGACCTGGAAGCTCCTGTCTGCCCTAGCGATAAATGAGCTGCCAATGGAGATAGCCTGCCGTTGGCAATAATCAATATCTTGATGCTTCGGAGGAAAACATAAGCTCCGTGTTACACATCTCAGCCAACTGTGGACTCTCGTACAGAGGTCAGAGCTTCCCTGATCCCCGTCGCTAACTTCACCATGGAAAACTAAATTAAGGTCTGAATAATAAGTTCTGTTTACCGTTGTTATGTTAGCCTGCACGGCTACAAACATTATTAATCATTATAATGTTGTACAGGCCTGCCTGAAATCCAGATGCAGAGCCACAATCTGATCTCCGTTATACTGGTACAAACTCAAAGTACCGGTAATTTCATTTGAAAGGATGTCACTGGGGTTAGTTTCCAAGTTGCCTTTGGATTGCACGAATTTTGTTCTGTCCTCTTCTAGCCATACCACACTTTTATTGTCATAAATTATTTACGTTAGAGTCAAACCATTGTAAGTCTGGGTTTATATGAAGCAGTATTTCCATTCAAGACAGGGGTTTATTATAAAGACATTTAAAACTGGTTACACACTACGTTTCACGTTTCATTCTCAGCAAGTTGAAGGGTATGATGTCACTTTAAAAATTATTCAAAATTCACACAGATGTAAGCATTACCAGATTCTGATTCAGGCAGTTTGTCTTGTAACTACAGAGCTGAGTTTATGGGTTGGCTAGCCATGTTTATTATAGCCAAATAATAATCATAAAAAAGGTAAAAGAACATTAATAAGGTTGCAAAACCAAGCATGCAGCACCTCAGTGCCAGAAATAAGGCTGTCTGTGTGCCCTTTAATTGCTCCCTTTCTGTTTATGCCTTATGTTACTGGTTGCAATTATATGATCACATACCATTTTTTTCCCAAACATCTCCAGATCATTTGTATTCATTTAATGAGCAGGTGTTTAATATTTTGCTTTAGTTATACCGTTTAGTGAGTGACCTCCTGTCATACTACTCAAACAACATTCAAAGGCAGAATTATTAATTTCCTCATGACCTCCATTACACCTATCTTAATGCTTCATAAACAAGTCACTTATTTTCACAGCTCCTCTCCGAGGTGCGATGGAGATCTAAGAAAGCAAGGTAAAAAAATATCTGCTAAATTTTGATGCTCAACCTGAGACACAAAACTGTCTGGGTTTGGGTTTGATTTTTTTTTTTTTTTTGACAATTTAGCATTAATTTTATGCGTTCAAAGTTCAGCTTCCACTGAATTCAATTGCAGCCGATAAAACGTTCACTAGTTTTACAAATCAGAATATTAAGTCAGAAAATAAAGAACACAAAACCACCTGTTAATAATTATGTAAATGAGTAACAGCATCACATAGGAATTCCATGCTACAAGCAGGGGGATGTATTGGCAGGGAAAAACACATTTTGTCAGCAGAAGAATAGACATGTTCAAGAATCTATAGCATTTTTCCAGATGACAGAGATAAAACCCATGTCAACAGGCAGAGATTCTTCTCATAATTTCCACCAAATCACTGCTTTTGTCCTCTTCCTAGTCCTGCCCGGGACCTGCAAGTTCCAGCAGTGTTTGGGAAAGTAAATTCAGTTCTAGTCTCTCTCTGCATCTTGAAATCTCAGTCTTTATTCCCTGTTTCAAGTCCGTATACAAGCCATATATAACATTCACTACAGCTCCTTATACTGAGTGTGCTTCATCAGATTTTTCCTTCCCTGTGCATGTAGTCTCCTGACCCTTCCCAATCTCCAGTTAGGTGTGCTCCTACCCTCAACTATGTGCTGTGACAGTGCGTCAAGTCCCTCTCCGTTCCAGCCACTGGCTATGCCAGCTCTTTCCAGCTGCCGACTGCTTCCTTAGCCGATTTGTCTCCTCCTTACTCAGAATATTGCTTTTCACAGCTTGAACCCATCAAGTTCACAAGTCCAGTCTCCCTTCCAACTATCCATGCCTCTCACTTCTTCATACCTCGCAGCAAACTGACTCTTCTCCACTGTATGTTTGAACTACACTTGAACTTGACCTTCTCTTCACTGTGCCACCCAGATACTGCCCATCCACAATACTAACACAAGAAAAATGAGTTGAAGTAACCAAGACTCATCTCAGGAGAGCAACAGCAGCAAGAGTGCAGGGCAGTTGCAGGAAAATGTTCTTCAGAACTGCATTCTACCTGGTGTCTCTTGTGAATGAATCGATGATTTATTTTTTTTGAGAGAGGTGCATAATTGGCTAAATTTAGTGAAAACTCTTCGGACAAGCAAAAAATTACATCTCTGGCATAGTGTATCTATTTCCCATCAAATTTTAGGTCCCTGTTATTCAATATGAGGGATTTGCATTTCTCAGGATAAAAAGCTTCCTCCATTTCTCTCCTCCCAGTCCTTACCCATTTCCCTCCAATTACTCCTTTCACCTCCAAACTGCAGGAACTTCAACACTCTTAGAGAAGAAATAATTATTTTGGCAATTTAAAGAAAAATGAGAATTAATTTTCAAATCAGGCATGGAAAATTTTAGATAAAGCCTTTCAGTTTGACAAACTTATTAAAACAGGACAAAGTATCAAAAGCATTAGTTGTTAACCATGCTAAACAATGCACTTGGCCTGTCTGTAATTACAGGGGTCTAGAAGGGAATATCTTAATGAAACTTCCTGTGAGTTTGCAACAGTATCTTATTCACAACTTCTCTCCTAAGAAGAGCTCATTCCAACCCCTGCTCTGGGCTCATACACAATATACTCTACGTTTTGGTATTTGTTTTTCAAGACATGATCCTAAACCAAGAAATTTAGGTCCAGATCAGCATCCTCACAGGTGATTGAGACACCCTGGTTCATCCACATTGAATTTAAATAATTTTGCATGTGCCTGTATGTTGGTTCGGTCTGCATACAAAAATTATTTTAGACCATTTTTATAAAAACTGCCCTTAAACAGCTAAGAAACTAACACGTATATTTATGAAATTGTTACTTATGGCTGTAAATGCTTTTATACAGGAGATGAGAAAATTTTTAGGAACACCCAGCTGACAAGACAGTAAATGGCCCAAAGGTCATTAGGAAAATCACTTGATTCTACATCAAGGCAATTTAGGAGTATAACACACATGTTTGTTTCAGATCAGCTTCTCAAACTATGTATTTTCCAAAACAGTTAAGAATTTGCTAGAAAATAAATACCTATGTAAGTACAGATCCCAGTTAGCAAGGACATGCAAATAACAATAACTGTTATTTCCATTTTTTCATCATCTCTGCATTTTGCACAGTGCGAATCAGGAAAGAACAAGTTATTTCTCATATTGTTTCGTGTATTTGTATCGCTCAGACAACCCCTTGAATATGTCCAGTAGCTAATTATACAGCTATAAAGTGATCAGAGCAAATGCCATTGCCAATACAATTAACATTCTTTATGTGAGAGTAACTGGATTTGAGTCACCTGCATAACTTGCTTATGATGTTAATCTCTCAGGAGACAGAGCGCTGCTTGCCCAAGCATGCTAAATAAAGAAGATTTCTCCACACAGCCAGGTCAAATTTAGTTTCAGAGCTAAACTTAAGAAAAAAATGTTTTTATTTTTTTATTTTGAAATGGTTTGCCCATAAATAAAGCCTTGTGGTATAATTAAACATTGTTACTCTGTCAACAGCATTCAGAACACAATATATTTGAGAAACAACAAGAAAGGGTAATAAATTGAAATCATAGACATATATAAAAATTTTAATATAGCTATTTTATAAGCTTTCACTGAGTAAATAAAGTACCTACTCTCTGATGAATATTAAAAATCTTTGAAGAGAACCATAAAATAGGTCATGGTTATATGTCATGTCAACCAGTCGTGCTATTACTAGGGTGACCTTTATAACTTCAGAATAAACTTTGCTTGCAGTTATAAAAAGGGATTGCTAACGCAATCTGGACACACACCTACAATCTGTTGCAGTGCTTGAGATATGCACTGCAAGAAAACCTACACAACTGATCCTAACCAGAAACACAGGAAAATCCTCTCCTTGCTTTGGGTGCTGACACAAGTTAACCCCGCAAGTCAATTTTTCCTCTATTTAACAATTGGTCTGAGCATCACAGTCTATTAGAGAGACTCAGATGACCGTCAGATGTGTTATTGCCCTTTCTTTTTTCCTCAAAAAGTTAGACACCCATATATGGGACCTCAATCTAATTAAAATGATCCTAACTACCTTAATATATTTTCTCTGCTGAGGCAACTGCTAGAGTGAAGGATTTGATGGTCCCCGTAACATAGAGGCTCAATCTGATTTAGAACTGTTTTCTCTGTCTTTGCTGGAGAGAAGGCATATTTTTTTTAAACGTTTTTGTGTTCTAGAAAGAAGTATCAAAACACAAATTAAAAGGCTTTGGGGAGGGATTTAATAGCAAACAGTTAAAAATAAAAGCTTTTTTCACTTTAGCATTCTGATGTAAAGGAAAAAAAAAGATACATTAGATGGTTGGAAGTAAGTTTCACTTCAGAATGCTGTTAATAGCGTAGATATTTCATTAACTGCAACATGATCCAGACAAAGTAAAGCTCTCTGCCAAAAATGAAGATGTGGAAGAAGAAAGGATATTAGGATCACACCGGATTTAACTATGTTGGTCCAATA